TTATGCAAAACAGAAAGATTATCAGCATCAATCTTCAAATTCCAGTAAAAATAGAAAAAAAAACACAGTTATATCTAGTTCTCTAGCCAAGCCGTATGAGATTAACAAAATTTCAAAATTTCGACAAGGATCATAAATGTCTAAGAATAAAAGTTTATTGCTTTTTATTAGAATAAACTACGAACAAGATCATTGCATTTCCCATAAGGATAGTCCAACATCAATGAAATTTCATGGTAAAATTCACCAAATCAGTAAAAAGAACTGGAAACAAAAGATGGGTGACTTCCATGATAAACCCTAATGTGACCTTCACCCATAGAGTCAATAAATCGCCCTTTCCCCCTCATTCAAAGAAACCCAATTTTCCTTCAGGCATTTTGCCAAATATTTCACATGTATAAGCCGGAAACCCGCAGAGACGGACAAATTCATTCACCTAAACAAGAAATCTATTCAACAATAACTACGCTGATTTGTTTTAAGCCAGTACCCTCAAATAAAGCGTATAATTTATGAAAGAAAATTTAACTACATGAAAGACAGATAAAAAGAGAGAAGAAAACAAATGATTTCCATTGGGATTTTAAACCTTTGACGATTAAATAGGCATAAGGAAAAAAGGACTTACCGGAGAGGAAAAATAGACGTCTTTGAGAAGAAGAAGAGGTGTGTTTGTTCCAAATCAAAGGCAATAAAATGGAAAGCTACTGAGCACTGACCTCTTGGGCAAGTCACGTTTTGTTATTTTAATTTTGGTGAATCATTTGCTTTTGATTACGCATCGGCCCACCTCTCATATCCAAAATTTGATGAATCAATATAATAGTTAATTAGCTGAAAACAAATTGGATTTCTGAATAAAGTACCTCAAAATTGTTATAGATCTGCCATTGAATGACATCCTCGGATGATTAGAATTTTCTTTTGATAAATTTTAAGTTGAATCTTGATTTTATTTAGAGGAGAAAAGAAAAAAAAAATCTAAAAGAAGGAAGTGTAATGTTCCTAATAAATTTAAAATTTATAACCTAAAGAAATATGAGAAAATAAATATGAATAGCTTAGTCAACTACCAAAGATATGAGAAAATATGTTTATATAATTTATTTTTTTATCTTTTGAAAAATTAAATAATTATTTTTAATTACAATATCGACAAAGACGTAACATAGTAATTTGTACAATAATCCACTAATTCATAGCAAAATTTTAATTTTTTAATATTTTAAGTTTCGTACTATATTTATATATTTAAATTATTTATATTAAAATAATATATGTATTAAAATATACATAAATTAACATGTATGTTATTATGCTAATACTATTAAAGTTCAATATTTTTTTATAATTTTTTTTTTGTTCTGGAGAAGGAAAATAACAACTTAACTACACTATGATCTTGCTTTCATTCTGAATTAGTGTCTCCACTGTTTCTGGGGGTTGGGATAATTCCTGGAACCCGTTTGGGATCGTTCTAGCATAGCTGGCAAGGGCATCCGCCACCTTATTCCTTTCTCTTGGGGATTTGTTTTAAAGTCGCGCTCCATTCTTTCTGTAGTAGGAGCTTGATCCGATGCACCAGGCTTAGTTGACCTCCTGTTGAGGTTCCTTCCTCAATCAGCTTGATATCTTCGCTGCTATCTGTTTCGACAATCACTTCTTTCTCGTCAAACTTCCATGCACGTCGGAGCCCTTCGTAGATGCCCCACAGTTCTGATTCCAACGTTGAGCAGATTCCAATATTTTTGGCGAATCCTATTTTCCAGCTATTTTCCAGCGACCTTCATGATCATGTATTATGCCTCCGCATGTGCCCTCACCTGTCCTTGGTTGTCGTCCTCCGTCCAAGTTGATTTTACACCAGCCTGGATCTGGTGGGCTCCAGGTTGTCGAATTTTCCTTCTCGGGTTTTCTGATATGGGCGTTGGCAGCTACGTTTGACTTGGTTATTTTCATTGCGATTCGTCTTCCTCGTTCAGGTGTGGTCTCTGTTTCACATATTTCAGCTTCAAAGATATTTCTATTCCTTTTTGTCCACAATGACCAGGTGATAGCTCCAAAGAGAGTAGGCCAGTCTCTTCCGTCCCTCGTTGGATATGTCTTTTCCTGCAGGTTCATCATAATCCAATTCTTTATATTGCAGGTCATGAAGTGTTCTAATTTCTCTGGGGGGATGATTTTTTTCCAGATCACGTAGGTTTGTGGGCATGAACTTAGTATATGGCTTATGTCTTCTACCTCCACATTGCAGTTCCAGCATTTTGAGTCTACTGCTATGTGGTGTCTAACCCGTTCTTTGTTTGTGAGGAGGTCTTCTTTTCCAGCTAGCCAGAGGAATGCTTTTATCCTAGGAAGGCTTTGGTGTTTGGCAATGGTTTCCCATATTTTATCATTTTGTAACTCGTCTCCTGTTGTTATCATGTCATATGCAGATTTCACTGAGAATTGACGGTTTTCAGATTCTTTCCATCCTGGGTATCGTTTGGTTGTTTTTCAGTGGGTGGGGGTATAGCTTCTAATCTCCTTATGACTGCCTCGGGGAGTAGGGTTTTAAGGATATCCAATGTCATTCTCCTTCCTCATTGACTGGTTCGTTAACTATGGTGGGGTAATTTTCTAGTCCGAGTGATTGCGTTCTCTGGTTTCGGAGGAGTCCAAATTCTCCAATCCATTCCTCATCCCAAAATTTTTATCATATCCCACTAAAGATCTTCTGTACACATCGTTTTTTCGTCTCCTAATAATCTAAAATTTTAAGATATATTTAACATTTTGGCATCAAAAGAAATTCTGGAAAAAGGAAATGTCTTCGGAAAAAAGGATCTCAAAGATCTATATTGAAAGAAATTTTAATTAGTTGATATGACATATAACAAGTTTATGTGACACACCGTAATCAAATTCATTATTTTCTGATCATATCTAGGATAGGCACAGAATCCGAACTTGATGGATTCTGACTCGAATCGATCCAATCGGGTAAGATTTTTTTTTATTTATAAAAAAATCAGATTTGGGTTGAGTCAGTTTTTTTAGAGAATAAGTTTGGGTCGGGTCATGTTTGGGTTTAGAGTGAAAATATCTGACCCAATCTGACCCAAAAAATAATATAATTATACCTTATATATATTTAGTGATAATTACAATAATATCTTTCTTTGTATTATTTTTTAATTAACTTCATATTTTATTGAATAAAATTAATACTTTTATATTATTTCGGATCGGAACTGGTCAGAGTTGGGTTTTATCTCAAAAGTCGGATCAAATTTTGAATATGGTGAAATTACCCTAAACTCGGGTCAAGTCGATCTTCAAGTGGAGGGCATAAAATTTTTAAGTCGGATCAGGTTGGCTGGAAATCCGACCCAACCCGATCCTTGCCCATCCCCAATAATATCTACCTAATTTGTATATTATAACTATACGGTTGATGCACACACTAATAACCTTTATAAAATCTCTCGAACATGATCGAGAAATGATATGCGACCTCGTTAATAAAACTACATCACTTTAACTTTTCTCTGTTCTATCTCCTCATTAGGGGTGTAAACGAGCCGAGCCGAACTCGAGTATTGTTGAGTTCGACTCGACTCGAAAACTCACGAGCTTAAAATTTTCAAGCTCGACTCGAACTCGAAATCCTGAACTGAAGCTCGTGAGCAACTCGAAAAGGCTCGAAATGAAAAAAAAATTCATAAACTTAACTCGATTGAAGCCTCAAACTCAAACTAGAACATGAACCTTAAATACATGAAATCTTACTGTATTTTAAAAAAAAATCAAACATAAACATAAATATAAATATTAATATTAATTTATTTTTTTAAATAAAATCTTAATATATTATATTTTCGAGCTACTCACGAGTTTTTCGAGTCAAATATCGAGTAGCTCGTTTCAGCTCGTTAAGAACTCGAGTCGAGCTCGAGCTCGAGCTCGAGATCGAGTCGAGTCCATTCGATCCGAGTATTTATCGAGCCTTGACCGAGTCGATCTCGAATAGCTCGCGATCTGTCTCGTCTCATTTACAGCCCTACTCCTCATAGAGATAGAGCACTCCGACAATACTTGATCTATCGTAAACTGTGATTCTCCACCTAAATCAGAAGAAGTGAATCGTCAATAATCTCCACAAATAATTTAGTCCCATCAACCAATTTAATTTTTTAAATTAACATTTAAATTTAATTAAAGATAAAATTTAAATTAAATAATTAAAATTTTCATAATACAATGAATTATTTACACGTAAATATGTCATTTAAGGGGATGTCCAAGGAAAGACAACCTAATATAAGGCTAAGGAATGACAATATCGGAAATGTTAATATTTTTTTAACATTTTCGGTAAAGTGTTGCCGAAAATGTTATTTGTTCTACCGAAAATGTTAATATGGGGCGTTACCTAAAATGTTATTTTTTCTACTGGAAATGTTAATATGGGAAATATTCATTTTATATAGCGAAATTAATATTTTCGATAAGAAAAAATAACATTTTAGGTAGCACTCTACCGAAAATGTTAAAAAAATATTAACATTTCCAACAACGTCTTTCCTTAACCTTATATTAGGTTGCCGTACAGTAGAAATACCCGTAATTTAACCTAATTTATAAATGGTAAAATATAGTTTACAAAGAAGAATCATGATTGTAGGTGTTTGCCCACATCACATGCCGGTAAGTGAGCATGGTATTAACCTTACTCTGCATGTACAGCTAGCACATTGTCTGTAAGATTCTCTGCATTATCATTCAAAGAACATAAATACAAAAGGAAAAAAAGTAAATAATTACAGTTCTCAATGATGCTTATCAAAGGCGTTGTTTACTAGGAAACAAACAAGTCGGTGAGTAAACTCATTGACCACCACTAACTGGATATTTCCAGTCTTTTGACTTCTTTGCTTTCATGATTTCAATGGTCATTAATGGAAACAAGAATCTTTAATTAATCGCCATTACCCTCGTATAAAAAAGATTGCCACGATTGATCCTTAACTCATTTCTCCCAGTTCTTCAAAACTGGAAAAAAATGGGAAAGAGCTTCGTTTTCTTGATCATGGCTTTTCTTCTGCTGTCTACTGCAAAAACCAGACCTCTGTCAACAAGTATTGGCCAACAGGCTGATAATTCTCAAACGCCATTTTCACCAGTGAGTTTTGTTTGATATATTGGGTTTTTTTGTTGCTTCAGTGACCATTTTTTTCAAAGGGTTTTTGCAACAATTTTTTTTTTTGCAGGAATCAAGTTTGGTTGATGATGAGTGCAAAGGTTTGGATGGGGAAGAATGTCTGGTTCAGAGGTCCTTGGCTGCTCATACGGATTATATTTACACCCAACAAAACATCGTACCATGATCTTTAGGTGTTTCTGTTTCTTCTTGTAATGTTAATTTACAACTGAAAAAAAGTAATCAAACTTATGTTTTTCATCTCTAAATTACTTGCTTTGATGTTAATTTACAACTGAAAAGTAATCAAACCCTTGTCTCTTTCATGTTCCTCTTACTTCATACTTTTTTTTGAATTGACTTCATACTTTTCTTTAACACCGTATCCATACTATTAAATCAGTGTAATGGATCTATCGTGACGTTTAAGCTCACTGCAACCGTAGACAACATAAAATCATAATTACCTTCAAGAAATAAATCACGTTACAACATTCACAATACCTACAATCACGATACCACGACCGCAATCGTAATTTAATACTATGACCGTATCTAACATATATTCATACATATCCATATAACATACTCTTCATGAGAAAAGTAAAAATTGAAAGGAGAAAAGCATGCCCACATAGGGTCTTTGAATTTAGAGAAACTGAAGAAAAAGAGAAGATTTTCCTTTAGATGTACATACATGTGGAACAGTGGAAGTACCTGTGCTTGTCTGTTTTGTACAAAATGTGTGTATATAGTTTATTAATTATCACCTCACTAATCACCATATGCTATTAAAAATAATAGTTTGGATTCCTTATTCTGATTGCTGCTTAATCCATTGATCCCTTAAAAATGATATTCTGATTCTTTTGAACCCCAAAGATACATTGTTCGAGTTCTTCAGGAACTGCAATTTGATACGTTCTGAAACATAAACATTCGAGAATCATGAAAAGCAAAGTTGTTGAAGATGATATAGGAATCAAGTTACTCATATTATCAGCATGTAAAATGGCTTCTGAAAAATTCCGAAGAACTATAACACATTATGCTGATTGTTACATTACTTGCTTATCTCTGTAATGAACAAAGCCTGCAGCCAGCGGGTTTCATCCGGTTATGCAGAAACTAGTTACTGGCCCCGACTCTTCGGGTTGCACAATCATATATGAAGTAGCCACGAGAAAGTAAGAGATATGGATAAGAATTGCTAATGCAGTGGGATCTGGCATGGGGCAAAGAAAGGTACAGTTAAAGCAGCATCACCTGAAGCATAGGCTGCGCTTGGTGTCGCTTCTATTTTGGTGGAAACAATGTAAGCACCTCACAAAAAGCTGAAAACAGTAATTTGGTTTATGTTGGTGGATAGCCTTTTCATATGTTTTTTGCCTGGTATGGTAGTTATTTGAATGATGAGGCACTAGTAGCAGCACCTCCACCACAGTTTGTCATCTTGCCCATGTTATTTTGAGCAACACTGGAGATTGGACTGCCTATGGGGCCTCACTCAAAATGCAACTTGCGCTTCTTAACGATTGCGTGTATATATATATATATATATGAATATGTTACTTCTCCTTATGGCAGTGAAATTGGTGAAATTATCTCTTAGTGCTGTTTACTACTCTTTCTCAATTCCATATCTTGGGTGGAATTCTATAACCAGAGTTGGTGGGGTTCATAAAATGATTATTAATAGATAAAGGTTAATGATCGAGTGTTTTATTTGCTTCTGATGGACCACTGCAGGTATTGTTTTCACATATTTTGCTCTGGAATGTTACGCAGCGAGAAGAGCTGCAAACAGTTGCTTCACACTATGACGTTTGCTGACCATTAAGCTGAGTTAGGATAAAAATGATCAGAAGATGTTATTGCATAGTTTGATTCTAATCTCATACAGCTCAAACTAAGGCAAAATCTTGATTAACAACCGTAGCAAACCGAGGAACATAATATGATTTTTTATGGCTAGATAACTCTCATCTCAATGGAGGAATTCTACAGAGATGGCAAAAGATTGGTTTGTTGACTCTGCTCGCAGGTGAGCAGTGTTGCAGGAAACCTCTTCCAGCTCTTTCAGTGCAAGAGAACAAGGACTGCCGATCTTTATGTCAGTCAGAATTTGGCGAAGATCGGAGGTTTCTTCCTTGAGCCTTGCATTCTCTTGAAGAACTAAGTCACGGCACTCGGATACATGATTTAATTTATCCACGAGACTCTGGTTCTCGTTGCGAAGCCTGATTACCTGTGACCAAAGTTCATCTAGGTGCTTCTGTTTCCGCATCCTGGACCGACGAGCAGATTCTCTATTAGATATCATTCTTCTTCGTTTCCTTTCGTCGATGATGCTGACCTGGTGTTCCTCAGCTTCATCGGAAGTTGAATTATTGCTGAAACTAGAGGACTGTGCAGTGAATTCTTGGGAAGGCGACGGGATGTGGAAATTTGGTAGGTTGTTTAAGAATCTATTGAAATGAAAGGCTGGTATAGTATTTTGCATCATGCCTACGTTGGCTGGAACAAGGATCTGGTTTTCAGGTGCTAGGTAGTGAAGTCCTGTAAGCTCACCAGGAACCATGGTTTAAGCTCTGAAGTCGATGCCTGAAGAAGCTCAAGGGTTGGTTGTTATAATGTATTGCAGTGATGGCTGAGCCTTTGAAGGTAAGGGAAAACGAAACGAACGACGAGGTTTTATAAGAGGAAAAAAGTTTGAAGTGGGCCAGTTTCAGCAACAAGTGTAACAGTATCATGGCTTACAAGAGAAGCAGAGTTGAAACATTTATCATTAATGTACATGTTGCTCTAGTATAATGATACATGTGCATTTATGTATGCATGTATGCATGAGAGAATACTTGCTGATGAGAGTAAGAATTTGAGTGAGGAATGTTTCAAAGGCAAGGAAAAAGCAATCGAAAAATGCTGCTGGGTTCAACCTCAGGATAAGTCTTCATACTTCAAAACTTCAGCAGGGAATAAGGCCTTGTTCATGATGATGCGACGAAGCCCGGTTTTAAAAGGTAAACCATTAAATTAAGCATAGTTCCTGTAAAGGAAACTTTTTTATAAGGGAGATGACCCATTATGCACTTCAATTCATCATGGTAGGGTCTCAGCATAGTGCCTAAATGCTAGCAGTCTTAGTTTAAAACTTCCCTGGAATTGCTTTCTATCTGATATATGTTATGACCGATATCGACTTAAAGAACACTATAGAACAATTAGCTTAGAATCTACTTTGGGAATAGTTTAGTGTCGCTTAACAGGTTATCCATTTTGTTATATTCTTTCATTGCATATCATCCGTAAGTGTTTAAAGTCCCTTTTCTAGAGTAATATTGTTTATACTTGAACTAGGTAATGGCAATAACTTTATCAGCACACAATCAGTTGTTTTGTTGAAGATTAATTAATAAATTTAAATTGAAGCTAATCTATATTTCCTTAAGACCCATTTTCAAACATGATAAGAGAGACATTAATACAAGGAAAGATTATATATAAAAAGAGTCTAGGCAAATCTAAGAAGCAGCAACTAGCAAACGCATTGTTATTTTTTTTGCTAATTGTTAATGGATTACAACATTTATGTGTAAAATACCTCTACAAAAGCTTAATTAGGCGATTCCCCACTAAAAGACTAGCTCCAGGCCGCTATTTTCTTAAAAAAGGTAAAAAAAAATTACTCGATAAGAGTTGAGGGGAGCAACAAAGAGAATGTGTTTCAATACAAAGCTTCTAAAGAAAGATTTGGTAAAATAATATTTGGAAAATATATTCTGCACTGCTTTTATATCTGTTTATTTATCATTAAACTTGATGTATGTGCATGCATGCAAAATGATGACAAATATTATATTTGGAGTTATAGAATATAGCTTTAATGTTCCTATGTTCTAGTCCTTGCAGATTTGTTGATGCCTTATTCCCTTCCTAGGTTTTGCCGATGCCGAACGCAGCAACGTTATGCCCATGAAGGTTGCTTCCATTATTCTCATATTTCTGAATTTTGCGGAAGGCTGAGAAGGAATGGATAGTAAGATATATGAAGATCCTTTCATGCATGAAAATATATATTGGGATTATATTTCATAGAAATGAAAAGAAGAATCAAAGCCAAACTTTCTAAGCAACCCCTGAAAATTGAAGCTGCCAAAAAAGGAGTTGAACCAGACATGATTGACTGATAGTAGGTTGTGGGGGAGAAAAAGACTACACAGAGCTGGAATAGGACCATTTCCACAAGTTGATAACGTGTGGGTGCCATAATATATGCTATTTGGTGTAGTTGAATGGACAAGTTGTCTGTTCATCCATGATTTCAGTTGCAGAATATGAGCAACTTAACATACATCACTGATAATTTGACTATACTGTGTGATGTAAGATGAACTTTCCCTGCTAATTGATGTTGGTGGTACGTTCATTCAGGAAACATCCATGATGGCAACCGATTAACGAAAATTAAGCATACAAAATGTTATCATTATCGAACTATCGGTTCTCCCAAAGTTAAAGCTAGTATAGTCCATAGCTGTTGGCAGATTTTAATCCTTCATGCGGTGTATGATGTCAAATCTATATAGTTTTTAAGCTAATGAAATGGATCAAGAGGAATAAGAGAAGGACAATGTCGATAGAAGAAGTCGAATCATGAACATGATTAAGCACCTTTCAAAGACAAAACAAGTATCAAGCATACACCATATAGGTTTCATCCTATCTATTGGCTAAAATTGGAACTGTTTCTTCAATAAAAGAGAATACCCTTGGTTTGATTAATCATTAGGAAATTGGAGGACGAGCAGAGTTTTCTGGGGTCCTACCAATTAAAGAAAACAACAAAAAAGGTTTGAAAAGTAAAAGAAGTAAAGGAGGGACCATAAATGGCTTACACAAATGGTTTTTCTTTATCCTCATTCATGCCTGGCCTATAGTTGTTGCTATAGCTAGTAGTATGCAGGTGAAGAAGGGCCGGTGTTACGTACGGAGGGGGACTGGATTCAACACCTAATCCATTTGGTGCCAAACATCATCTGAGAGTGCAACATTTTGAATTGGTACACATAGTTTGCTCAAGTGGGTCCTTATACTAGTGACCTTGGGTGCCTGGTGCACCATTCTTACATTCAATTGCACAGCCAGTCAATTCAACTCCAATATATCAACTTTGTCTCTCTCCATCAACATATTTATTTCCTAATTCAGAATGAAACTAAGGCATAATATGTTAGTACATGTTAAGGAATAAAAT